GAATTTCTGTTACTTTAGTGAAATTTCGTATCATTTCTAATTTTTAAAACTATTTTGTTTTATCTTTTAAAAAAATTTAATTAAAAAAATGAAACTTGGATCCAATTTCTGCCTATTATGATCCAAAAACTGGAGCAGTGAAAGAGAATTCATCTTCCAGTGAGGGAAAAATCCAGATGAAGTGAGTTACACTCGAGATAACTTGTTCAATCCACAGGAGATACTATTTCAATGGCTCAGACACAGTTTTTTTGCTTGGGAAGCCATGAGGGAGGATGTGAAGTGGATCTGCAGGCAGATCCTACAGCACTAGAGGTGCTATGAAAGTCCTTTAGAGTAAAAAAAGATTTCAATGAACAGCAGAAAGAGAGCATCTTGGAAAAGCACAGTAGCCAAGAACACCGCCTCCAGCTGAGTTGCTCTTAGCCTAGACTGGAGACTGCGTGGAGTACTGGAGACATCATGTAGTCATTAACGGACAGCAGTGGGCTCTTGCCAGCTGCAAGTATGAGGATGATGTGGAGATCACCAACCACACACACACACACACACACACACACACACACCTGGGGATCCTACTGGAAGGGGGTAAATGGGAATACAAGCGCTGCCACTTGTTCTTCAAGTATTCCTCTAGTGCAGGGGAAGCTAGGAAAGAGATTTTTAATTCATAGGAATGCATTGCAGATGATATAACTGGAGAAGAATCTATGAAAAATCCTCAAACCCTCATGGAAATGCACCAAGAAAAATTAAAAGTGAAGAAAAAGAAAAGAAGCACCAAAAGAGTGGCTCAGAGAATGATGAATAAAAGAAATGAAAAATTCAACAAGGCATCAAATGCCAAGGAAGCCTATCTTCTCCAAGTCAAGGAGATCATGCAGAGTGAGGGAAGGAAGCAACTATATAAAAGTGTATATGAAGCTCAGGAGCTCACTGAAGAGGAAATGGAAGCCTGTAGAATGAAAGGTCAGAGGTCAGATGACCCCATGGCCTTTTCCTTTGGATAGTAGTCATCCAGGACATCTGGAACTGAGGTATTCTTTCTCCTTTGGAATAATTGTAGGGAGAAGCATCCTTGTCTAACTTTATTAAAGCTTTAGAAAACTCAGCAAACAACAAAAATCCCTCTACCCTACCAGCCACACTGTGGTCAGAGGAGCCTCCTGAGAAGATAATATTAAAAGAGACAATCAAAGGAGGGGGAAATGAGCCATACTGATGTCTAAGGAAGAACGTGTCATCCAATGGCAAAGTCTGCAAGGTGCAGAGCATTGGCATGGTGAAAAAACAGCAGGAAGCCAGCAAAACTGGAGTAGAGGACGGGTGCATCTCACTAACTCATCTTTGTTTTATTTTAAATATTTTACTAACTTAAAAAATGAAAAACTGTAATTTCTATTCCATCACAACATGCAAGTGGTAATTTTAAAAGCCTCAGACATTAATCCTTGAAATAAATCAGGCAGCCCCAGGTATAGCAGCAACATTGACACCAAAGGTAACCAAAGGTCGCCTTCAACAGGGCCCTGAGCAAGCATTTGCACCACTCTAAATATGTTACTGAGTTCTTGCTTCAAAAAGTGACTCAACAGCTAAGCATTACTGGGTTCTGGGTTACTTGCCTCTCTCTCTGGAGTTATATTCTAGGTTCTTCTTGGCTTGAACAAAGAATTGAATGAAATGAACAAAACAACAGTGGCAAAACTCGCCTGAGAAAGTAGAGAAGAGTGGGGAAGAAAGTGGCCCTGCAGGGCAAGCTTGGACCTAGTAAAAGAGAAAAAGCAAGATAGAGGAACATTTTGGAAGAAGCAGGGTGGGCTATGGTGAGGAAAGGCCATGATATGAAGGTCTTCTTAGTATTGGTATGTCTTTTATGCTGGCCGAATCTCGAGGAAAGCTGTGAGAATTTCTGCGCACAGCCTGAGAGGCAGTGTGGGTATCCTTTGTCTTAGGCTGATGCTGTCTAGGTCATCCTAGAAATCCTACTGAGTTTTTGCAAGAAGTCCATTGCAGGGCTTTGAGAACTGCTCTGTACAAGGGTCCAGGTTCTTATATGTAAAACAGATCATGCAAACTTGGCCAGCCAGCTTTGGCATGCCCTAATCTCCTATCTCAAATGCATTGGGGCATTGAATTTTCATTCAGTCCATATAAGGTACAGACTATCTCAGTGTTGGAGTTTGATGTATAATTTGCTAACTTCTCTGAATCTAAGCTTCCTCATTACTAAGAGATAATGATAGTGGCCACTTAGTTGGTGTTTTACCATTTAAATGTCATAACAATTTATGAGTGCATAGTAAATACTAAATAAATGTTCTTTTTCATCATTATTACTAGAGTTTATTATTAAGGCAGGAGCCATGGTTAAAATAAATCATTACTTTTTATAATGGAAATTAATAACATACATATGATTTTAAATCACTGATGAACATTATCCATCCATAAAACTTAGATATTCATTCATTTGTTTGGCAAAATGGCATTCTCTAAGTCACCAGTGAAATAAAAACCAAAGATAATATCTCTGATCTCACTTAAAGGTATAAAGAAGAAATAGGTAGGCGAGCATCTCATCTTTGCAATGTGGCCTATTTTATAAATAATGTGAGTATGCAGTTTCATAGGAGACCAAAGCTTAACGTGGAAGTGGGAGGGGTTGCCGGGCGAGGCGGGTGCTCCAGGGGCAGGCAGCTAGGGAAGTGGGCAAGTGAAAGGAGGCCGCAAGGAAGGGGAGAGATACCAGCGCATGGAAGAGGCCAAACACTAGAGAGAGGTGGAAGTCCTTCTGCTTGGGGCCTTGAACATTGTCAGTTATGGCTGAAGAGTGTTTGCCAGACAGATAGCAAAGGGTGAGGCATGCTAGGCTGAAGACCTGCGGTAGTATGTGAGCAAAAGGAGGACACAGATTAATTTTAAACAAAAAAGTAACCTGACCAAATTTGCAGTTTTGAATGACTACTGTAATTGAATTGGGAAGAGTAGTTCAGTAGGGGCCAGAATTAGAGACAGAATGACCAGGCTGGGCAGTCATTTGATTCTTAGGGAGAAAAGGAACAGCTTTCATTATAAATCTGTTATGTAGGGAAGAGTGAGGCTTCTTTGGTACAGTATCATGTTTTGGGAGAGCAGGGAGGGCAGGATCAATAGATATGGCACTAAAAAGGAACATAAAGCCAACTCATTTCATTTTCAGAAAAACTTCTGGGTCAACTGATTTATAACTCTCTCTGGGGTCTCACATTTTTCAAGATTGAAAACTTGAATTGTTTTCAAATTGAAAAACAGTTTTTCACTTTAGGAGCCATGAGATGAAAAGCAAAAATTTAAACAAAATGTATTTTGTAATCCTTCCTTACCATTTCTCACTCAAACATTATTCCCCGAAAACATGGATTTATAGCCAACACAGAAATATGAATGATCTTTTGGGCCACAGAACTAATATGCTGGTACAAGTAAGTAAAAAACTGAGAAGAAGAGAGCAGGAAAAAACACTTGAATTTGGCAAATTAATGTCACCAGGAGAAAAAAAAGCCAGTTGTGACTGTGCAAACAGAAACTCACTGCATTTCATTATAATCGGCATTTAGAAAATCCCACAGACCACGGTTCTATATCCCCAATTCTGAGGCAACTCAGCTAAAATCCCTTCATTTTATCTGAATTATTGAGACAATGAAGATGGTAATTTTTTTCTTTTGGTTCTGTCTACTTCAAAGCAATACCTCAAGACATTTTCAAACAAAATTAATCCATTTCTACCTTCTTTGACTTATTATACCATGACTTACCCTCTCATTTTTCTCCCATTAATAATTTTAATGTACAAAAAATATTAATGTACATATAGTAAGTGTGTAATAAATACATGACATGAATCTGTATAAAATTTTCAAGTAGTTGAATTGGAAAGACTGAAATTAAATAAAAAATAAGTCCCTCTAACCATTTGGTTGGCCCATATGAAGTCTTTCTCCCCTCATGAAGAAATGCCATCATGATGGATATTCATCAGAACACACCTCCTCGCCTTTCCAGTACACACACATACAATTATGTACTTATTCATGTATAGTGAAATATAAATATATGAGTCACTGGAGGGCTATGACTGAGAAGTCAGGATCTTAGTTGTAGTCCTGGAAAATTAGTTTTTTCATAGCTCAACATCCTCATTTACACAAAGCGAATGATAACATTACCTACTTCACAAAGCTCTTATGAACAGTAACTATTTTAATACATTTGAAGCCCTCAGAATAGAACCTAATAGTGAACACTCAGTGACTGTTGACTATCATTGTAATATGAAAACCTTCAAGTACACTAATATTTTCATG